GTTTTTGTCATTCCTCTTTGTGCTTTTCGTACATTTTGACGTTTCGTTGAGCTGTGGTGCCACCTTTCCTACATTTTAATAAAATGGAAATGTGCGATGTCGATTATCGTAACAACTGCGTTAGAGAATCGCATAATCGTTAGCGCAAGCGACAAAATTCGTAACTTTGCGATCCGACAAATCGTGTCGATAAAAGTTACAGAATTGCACTGCAGGTCTTTGTTACGATTTTGAACAATGAAATCAGTGAATTTCGAGATAATAAATAAATAAATAAATAAATAAACCATTTTTGTTGTTTTGTTAAACAAAGTGTAATAATTAAACGGAAAGAGCAAATTTACGCAATTTTCTTCCAATAAAAATTTTGTTATGTAAAAAACTTTATTGGGCTCACAGAAAGAAAATGATAAATACAATTTTTTGAAAATAATGAACTCGTAATAACATTTATTTACAGGTAAATAACAATTATTATGGGTCCAAACACGGATAAAGTGATCGTTTTGAAAGCGAATACGGGGAAATATCATTGAATGATTACCAAAAAGAGTTGATTTGTATCTGGCAAGAGTATATAGTTGGCTTTCGGCAATGATGGTGAGAATTTCACTACAGCCCGGACAACAACCTAGTGTGGTGAACTTACCAAGGGAAAATAAATCAAAGTGACATCTTCTATTTATGTATTGTGAATACAACACTGGATTTTTACTTTTCTAATCCTAACAGAATTTCGGAGAATTTCCAACAATCGGACTGCAGAAAAAGTAAAAGATAATAGACAAGGGTAATATTTGTGGCAGGGCTTCTAATCTATTTATCAATAAAGCGAGAGCATGTGAATTATATTATGCTATAGTTTCTGAAGACATTAAAAATTTAAGTCACCCACTGGACGAAAGAAGAGTTGTTGCAGTGCAGTTCAAGGTTTGTGGTTCCTTGTATAGGTGTGCTTGCATATGTACATATATTCTCAGTATATGAAATAATAAAGTTTGCACCTGTTTATAGAAATTTTACAGACTAAATTAAAGGATCGTATACACTATATTCCGAGTAATTGAAATTATAATAAATGGAACCTTCGTGTACGTTTCATCCCTGCGATGAAGCTGTAATTGCAACCAATGATGATGCAAGTGACTGTAAACGGTGTGCAGTTCGATTGGGTTACTGGAAGGATGACTATATAGGATATTTTGTGCGAAATCAAGATCGAAAAGCCCCAGAAATTAACAGAGGCTATTTCGCTCGAGTGAAAGGTGTAGAAATGTGTATAGAAAGATTTCTTAAGGTTAGTTACTTTATTTTGTTAAGCAAGATAATAATAATAATGCCTGTATCACGATAAAAAAATGTGTCTCGCTACATCCATATATACGTATGTATATCCATTTCTTTAGAAAACCGATGGAAACTGTCAAATAATAAATTTAGGCTGCGGTTTCGACACACTTTATTTTCGTCTAAAGGATACAACACATCAAGTAAAAAATTTTATTGAACTCGATTTTCCAACAGTGACAGCTCGAAAATGCTACACAATTAAGCGCAATAAAGCTTTGCTGGCGAAAATCCATGACGAAGATGGTGAAGTTCGACTTAGCACCACTGACTTACACGGTCCCAATTACCATTTAATGGGTGTCGACCTGCGCAATCTTGATGAATTAGATAATAAGTTGCAACAAGCTGAAATTGATTATAACCTTCCTACGATATTTCTTGCCGAATGTGTGTTAGTTTATATTGAAGCGCAAAATTGCAAGAATTTGCTCAAATGGATTGCTGCCAAATTTAGTACGGCAGTTTTTGTTAACTACGAGCAGGTGATTAAATTTTTATGAATACCAACTATAATAAAACTTTAATATATCAAAATTTTATTTCTAAATTTTAAGGTCAATATGAATGACAGATTCGGAGAGGTTATGCTAAATAACTTGCGGAGCCGCGGTTGTAGTTTAGCAGGTGTTGAGTCGTGCATTTCTTTAGATACCCAAATAGGAAGGTTTCTTGAATGTGGTTGGAGTGGAAGCCGAGCTTGGGATATGGTGCAAATTTATCAAAGCATATCACCTGCTGAAAGACAACGGGTGGAAAGACTGGAGATGCTAGATGAAGGTGAACTACTTACTCAATTATTTCAACATTATTGCTTGGTTATCGCCTGGATAGGAGAATTGTTTCAAGATATTGAAATAACGTAAGACACTACGCAATATTGTATCAAGTTTGAGCTGAGTTTAACTAAATACGTTATATAATATACAGAGTGGAAAAGCGCATGTCATCACTGAACATTGATTAATTTAACTCTCGTTTATGTGGAGTGGCCCAGAAATATTCAGTTATCTGTGAACTACATACAGACCAGTGTGAAGCTTTGTAAGGAGTGAAGAAAGTCGACAAGAATTATAATCATGCGAACATTAAATTAACAGCAGCTGTTATTTTTTAAAGTTATTTTTATTGTAAAATAAAAAGTTTGATAGATATTTGTGTATTCTAAAAATTGAGTTATGAGAATGATGTTTTTGTTCTCAATATACCTAAAGGTAAAAAAGTTTTCTATGTAATTTACTTGTATGTAAAAAAATTTGATAAACGATACACAAATAACTAAATTATTTATATATTTCTAAGTGTTTTTTTAGTTTAAACCTCAATTTTCTATATTCCTCCATTCAAGAAATTAATCTGAGTGTTTTTTGGTGGTTATCACGATTCTAAATAAACCTATGGAGGAATTTAAACTAAAAACTATAACTTTTTATTTGTTACTAGCTTTGTTAATATAAATGGGCTCTCGAGATAAGACAATTTGCTAAGTTGGAACCAATGCAAAAGTGATTTAATAAATATCCATCCGATTAGTTCATCCCAGGTAAAATCAGTCTACCCGTCGATGTCATCTAACAAAAACTCTAAGAAGGAAGGTAAATATTCGACATTTGTTTGACGTCATTCAATAACTCCAGAGCGATTCTAATTTTTTTAAAAGCAAAAGTCTAAGAGTATACGTGACTTATCTTTTCAGCTGTCAACAACAAACTATTAATTCAAATAGGCTGATAATGCCAGCATATGATAAAAAATGTACCAATGTAAAAAAATCCATAATCGAATGTACACAACCGCAAAAATTCAAAATTGAAAATTCACTTTTCTTTGTAAAAGACTTGTACCTTCTTTTCCCTGAATATATTCAAGTAACCATTTCAAGACACCAATAAAAACATGTGTCCGGGCTTCTAAAAAGAATTTACACAGTTTATAAAGGAGGTGTCATTTTGAATATCCGGCTATTTTTTGACATTTGGAGCGATGCAAATCGAAATTATAACAAATCCATCGAAAAGTGATTTGACTGAGGCTCATTTCCACCTTAATGACTGTGTGAATAAGCAAAACTCTCACATCTGAGTGAAAATTTCCCCGATCTTCAACTTGTAACTGTTTGGTTCGGTTTATAATCAGGCGGGGTCATTGGACCTTAACTTTTCGAAAATGAATGGATTGCGCAATCGAAATATGATTAATTATAGCCGGATTTGGATGGTATTGATCTGGAGTACTTTTGCTTTTAACAAGAGGGCATTACGTGTCACATAAGCAACGAAGCTATCGATCTTTTGAGGGAAAATATTCCTGAATATCACAATAACTCCCTTTATTGGATAACCCTTTGTATATTAGGTGAAGTAAAAAAAGTCCAATATTTTTCCAATAGATGGCGTTATTTATCTTTTTTCTCGATGTATAAGTCTGATCGGGTTCCGCTAGATGGCGTTAAAAAGATGACATTTCGTGTCAATCAACTTTTTTGTCAGTTTTGTGATTGGTTGATCAGAGAACTGGTTGACTCAGTTTTGGTTGAGCGTGCGTCAATGATGGCTAGAAACGAAACTCTTTATTCCGTGAGAGTGCTCAAAAATCCGCATTTCTTATAACATTTCTAAACAGTGCCACTGTGATAGAAAAATTACTTCTTTGGATTTTTAGGTATATTTTGGGTATCTTATTACAAACAACAACGTCTTCAATTGCAATTTCACTTAAATATTTCATTGAGAAACTATTCAATGTTTAATTATATTAAGTTTTAATAATAAAATTATAATAATTTCTTTAATATTTACTGCTGAAGCAAATTTCTTTTGAAAACGCAAGCCAAGTGGCTGAAAATGTGCATAGCGTTAATGGTCCTGATACTGGTATAGTCAATCATGCACAATGCACGGTTTCATTACGGTAATATTGATATAAAAGATGCTTCACGGAGTGGAAGGTCAATTATCGAAAATGTCGATAAAACCATGAACATTGTCGAGTCCGACACTGAGCACTGTTTCGATTGCCCAAGAGCTAAAGATAGCGCAAAAAGCCGTTTGGAACCATTTGAATAAGCAAAAATAATGTATTTCATTTTGTTACACATTATATTTATAAGTGATTCTAGGCCGAGCTAGTTATGCAATTTGTGGTTTTGAAGGCTCGGGTGCAAAACCTGGTAGGACCAACATCCATTTGTTGGAAAAACTTCCAGGTTTTGCACCCGAGCCTTCCGAATGGCAGTGCGCAATGCTAACCACTCGGCTACCGGAGCCACCGAAGCCGCCGAAACCGCGAAAACCCTTTACCTATAATAAAAATGAACATAAAAGAATTATATAAAATGAGCAAATTATTTCTGTATTCAAAAGGTATGTTAAACAATATAGGTATTAATTTTAATAAAAGTTACTTAATCTTGTTCTGATTTCGTTATAATAATAATGTAATGATTTTCATTAAATACGACCAAAGATTTGTTGTTCAGCTTCTTTATTATATACACACTGAAATCTCGGTCTCGGCCCGGCAAAAATTAAGTATTCGACAATAAATCCTTCCAAAAGGGTATTGGCAAGGAATCACGGCTGCGAGAAGCTATGGAGGTATTGGAGTATAATGACTTCAATCTCAATACGAATTTTGAAATTTTTGAATACAACGGCTTACGGACGACTGGCTCATAAATACTCGCAAGGGGGTTACAATCTTTAAGGCTCAGTAATCTGCATACATTCCATAGTCGTTGGGAGATGCTTAGGGTTTTAATTTAAACTAATTTGATCCGAGAGAAAGCGAAAACTTCAAAGGGAATTATCGCTACCTTGCTACGTGCAAGAAAATCGACTTCAAATCGGCTATTCAATAACTTGACGCCGTAAAGTCAACAATGTGAAGATGTATAAAAAGTTGATTACACACATATTTAATTTGAATCTCATAGAGTAAGTACTGGGTTTTCTCTGTGAACAGAAGAAGAGCTTTTGAAGCTTTCGTTTTCGGAAAACTGAAATATAAAAATAAATAGGGATATTTAGAATTATTGGAGTGATCTTTTTAATGTAGTAAGTGACGTTATTTTAAAATGATTGAACATTAAATAGGTTCCTAATAAATGCGGTCGCACCTCACCAGATAACAACAATATCTTGTTCTAATACTTGGATGAGGCTTAAAACAGTATATCTCTCCATTTGTAGAAAAAATATCATTTCTCTTATTACAAATCGAGGAGAGGAAATTATCGAAAATCGCTTAAATAGTTATAATGAGTAAATAATAAATACGTATACATATTTTATGTAAGAACTTTTTAAATTCATCGATCAGCAAATTGGATATTAACAATGAGCATATGTACAAGCCTGTGCCCCACATGTAGTATGTATGTACATATCTGCAGCACTGGAGGTCATAGGCGCGTGAAACTCTAATTTAAATCTTAATTGGTGGGGCAAACGAAAGTCAACTGAGTTAGTAATAAATGAAGAAACTTCTGATTCTTGAGTACTTAACAGTGGATCTATCTGCATAAGCGGATTAGCCATAGCAGTCTAAGGGCATTTGCATAATTTCTAATTAGTTTTTAAAGAAATATATGTACATACATACACATATGTATGTTTGTATGTAATTTAATTCCTTTAATTACCCAGTAGGAATCATATGCCTACAACTTTGATATACATATGTACATATGTACATACATACCCAGTTGCATGAACCGGCTACTCTGTTGGAAATAAGTGTAGGGCCTCAAAAGTAAGAGTACTCAACGGTTTAGCTATCGTAGAATCCTTTTGGAACTACTCCCAATGTTGTATCAATGAAATTTTAGTTGAATTTGTTTTTTTCACTTTGGGGAAAATTATTTAAAAAATATGGGCCATTTGATTCATTTATATGACAACAAACTCCTCGGTAATGTGGTGTTGGACCAACTCACGTCCCGCTACCAGCTTATTATCAAACTCTCTCCACAAAGTTGTAAATTAGCAATTGCATAGTTCATGTACAAAGATGGTATATTGAGTTCCCTGTAACATCCCATATAATAAATTTTTGCTCTAGATCTCTTTGATACTTAGCAAGAAACCAAAATGGTGAGCAACTCGTACATAAAATGTATGCGAAAAAAATTCAAGAAGCGGTTGAAACATTGATGAATGATGAAGATCCGGTAAATCTGTTTGGCATGAATTCAGATAAGTAATGTTTTATGTTACCAACCAAGTTGTCTTCATCGGAACTAGAATTTGGTTGTCAGGCTTTGGAGATTATGGCATAAGATGATTCATAAGGCTACATGGCTGACTCCGAAACGAGAATTTCACAATAAAATGAAGCATGTTATCACAGACGGGCAACTTGTGTGTGCCCGCCTCAATGTATTTAAGAAAACCCGGGAACAAACTCTAGGAAGGTTGAATGTTGAAAAGCTTCAATCAAAAGGGGAATCTAAATTGTTTTCTCTGCGACTTGTGCCTCGGCTCTCTGTAGAAGAATACTATGGACCGCCTTCTAAAGCCCGAAAAATTGCTTTTCTATAAGCCGACTATGACGAAGTCTCCGGAGCCGATGGTTTACAGCTTATCTACTCGTGAAGAACTGGAAAAGTGTATGCATCAGCTTCTTTGGGTTTGAATAAATACATGCCGAAGATTAGACCTTATGTCCAATCTACGTCAGATATCGTGGCATTAGTCTCTTCAATATCGTACATAAGATCCTATTTAGCGAATTATGTAAAAGATTATGCACACCGCCGCTCATTCGACTTTATCAGTATTGCTTTAAGCCGCTCATAACCTTTGCGTACTAGAGGAATATCATAAATAATAAACAATGAGCTGTATGAGATATACGATGACATGGACATAGTTTAACCTTTGGAAATAAAAAGATCAAGTCGAGAGTCTCCAATTGACGCCCAGCGGAGAAACGATAAAACGTCTGAGATGTAGATGTAAGTAGAGGAGGACAAAGTCGGGTGTCTTATGTGCTATTTCACGACGAACATATTCCTTTCTTACTAGCGTATGATTCGAAAATGAGTTTTCCTATTGCACACCCATTTTTAGCTTATAAATTCAATTATAATCAAAGAAAAATGAGTAATAAGTTATATTCAAGTTAATCAGCCAGAGAGACATACGTAAACCAACTTGAAGTTTTCAATGTTGGTTAAAGGGAGAGCAAGAAAATAATTTTAAATGTAGGCTTAAGCACATAGAATGTGTACTCATTTGAGAGCGTTGAGTCAAATCAGTTAGAGCTGTAAGTTAGCAACTCAGCATGGCTAAGAGCTTAGCCAGATAATGAATAACGACTGTTATAACCAGCATTTAGTCGAAACTTACTCTCGGTGGTGAACGGTAGGCGAATAGAACTCGGTTCTCGTATGTGAAAGTTTAACTCATCGCTTAAGAAATTTTTGGAGTGAATTAAATAATTTAGTATCGGTTTGAAAAAGGTGAATAAATTAAGTAGAAAAACCAGCTAACTAGTTTATAAATAATGTGACATTTAGCTAAAGTATCACTAAATGTGCAAGCAAATGTTGGCACACACCTACTTAGTTATTTAAAAAGAGAAAAAATGTATACGTGTTAACAAAAGATTATGGTGTTTGTAATTGAGACTCTCTAAAGTACTGTAAATATACGCATAAAATTAGTATGTGTGCGAAAGTGTGAGCATGTATTCGTTACATACATATGTATGTATACGCACATGAATATATAAAATTATACTTGTACAAATAGCAGAAAGTGTGCTTGTCTTGTTTACCACAGAAATACCTGCATTAGTCAACCCTTTTCTTGGATCGTTGCAACTTTTGGCTTCGTTGCCATGGTTAACATATTGCTGCTACTGTCACCATTCTAGCTGAATATGAGTATGCCAATAAATTCAACCGCAAAATCCATTAGAATTCAAACAAATAAGCTGTTTTATTTTGAACTTCTTTGCTAAAACGATCGCAGTTGTGTATTTACTTTGTGTGCGAACAGGTCACCGTTTGTGCTTGAATGAATATGTGTTAAATTTTGTAATGTCAATATTACATTTAACCAGCGCTCATAAACGTGATTTTAACGATATTTTGGGCGTTGCCTGATATGGAGCTTAGCGTCTGCATACATATTTGTTTGAATATACCGAATGCATACGTTGGAAGTTATATAAAACCAATAATTCAGTTTGTCTAGAATTAATATAAAATATTTAAATAAAAAGTACGGATATAAATCGAATTGTGCAAAATATGCGTGTATATACAAACATACATTTATAAATGTTTTGTGTACGGCATTGGCAAAGCAAAGATAAGATTAGCTCCTAAAATCACTATGTGAATAAATATGAATGTATGTACATATGTACATATGGCAAACAACGTGACTACTCCATGGACCCGTGAAATATGTACTCCACGCGGCAATGAAGTAATCCAAAATACATATAAAAAAATATCGTTTAATTAACACGGCGATGACCTACTCTGCATAACATCCGAGTCATCTATGGAGAACATACACGAAATTAGTTTGGAAATAAATTCAATAATTCCTTCATATATTACAATCAGTGGGTTAAATTTTGGAATATATGCGAAAAGTTATATTCAGACATAACTTTTAGTTTGAAATATAATTCGCTTTAGGCAAAACATACATACATTCTAATATAACATTTATTATATAAATTTAAATTAATATTTTGTTGCCAATACAATGCTTAAACTTATTCACGTGCTCTATATACCAGCAGAGCTCGCCAAAGAAACGAAACTAACTCATTTTCAATGCATTTTCCGTACAAGAGTGAAAACCTTCCTTCAGTAATTAAATCACGACCCCATAATAGAGTACTGAACTACCTATTGGGTTGCTCCAATGGGTCATATGGTCCGAAAATGTTTGGAGGGTATGCACACCTAACTAAGAGTTTTTAATAAGATTTTCGAAGATTCAATACTGGAGGTGATGCCTGCACATGAATATAGGTAAAAACAACGTGTCTTGTTTGTATGAAATAATAAGCTGCAAAGCGAATTTAATATGATAAGTTGCTATGGCAGCGAATTTAAGTTTTCTTCATTCATTAAACGTGGAGATTGATTGTCAAAACTATTTTGTAGTTAAAGTTTTGTTTGTTTGAATTTCATATGATTCTTTATTGATATGCGTGAAAATCTTGAGAAATGAGACTTTGTGATTGATGTTTGCGAGTTTCAGAGCCGATTAATTTTACATGATTTTGACAACTGCCACGCTAAATTAAAAAAATCACAGTAATCATTGTATTTGTTCTTTGTTATTTAAATTAATTTTCTATAGTTTTTGAATGTTGTTTGGACCAGAACACAAGCCATGGCCTTCCGATGGCAGTACGCACTGCTAACCACTAAATGTTTATAAATACAACTACTGTTTAATATCTGAAAGTTTTATATTGAAGTATATTTTGATACGAGGTGTGTTTAAAAAATTTCGCGAATTTTGTGTTTTTTCAAAAATTATTTATTTATTCATGAATATCTATTTTGTCCCCTTCAAAGTAATCCCCGTGAGATTACATACACTTGTGCCAACGGTTTTTCCAATCTTCGAAGCACTTCAAAAAATCATTTTTTTTTATCTTGTTCAGCTCATCCTTCGATGCTGTCTTTATCTCGTCAATCGTAGCGTAACGTCGTCCTTTCATGGGCCTCTTCAGTTTAGGGAACAAGAAAAAGTCACAGGGGGCCAGATCTGAGGAATACGGTGGCTGCGGCATCATTAGTGTGTTGGTTTTGGCCAAAATGTCGCGCACAAGCAACGATGTGTGAGCAGGGGCGTTATCGTGGTGCAAAAGCCAATTTTTGTTCTTCCACAAATCCGGGCGTTTCTGGCGAATTGCTTTGCGCAAATTGCGCATAAATTGCATGTAATATTCCTTATTGACCGTTCTACCCTCTGGCAAGAACTCATGATGCACCACGCCCCTGTAATTAATTTTTTCGTCTGTTGTTGAAGTGCTCGGGCGTCCGGCATGCTTTTCGTCGTTCACATCTTCTCGGCCTTCTGAGAACATTTTGTTCCACCGGTAAACGTTGCTTCGGTCCAAGGTAGCTTCTCCGTATGCCACAGTCAACATTCGGAATGCATCCGCGCACTTCATTTCGTTTTTCACACAAAATTTGATACAGGTTCTTTGATCCATTTTTTTGAATAGGGAAAAATCGAAGACCATCCAAAACACGTGAAAGCAAAGCAACTATCAACAATTAAGTGAACATTCAAAATGGCCGAGCTTGACGGCGTAAGTGACAGTCATGAGTACCATAACGCCATAAAAAAATCGAAATTCAATTATACGTAACCCGCGAAAATTCTAAATCCGCGATACTTTTTGAGCACACCTCGTATATATTGAGTCCGGATTTCTTGCTTAAAAGCCAATATAAACCGAAAAAGTGAAGCTTCAGCCACATAAATTTGGTAGAAATGTGTCATCTCCAAATTAATCGTCTATCTAAGTGAATGCCAAGGTATGTGATTTCGTTAGCTTGGGGCACGTTTTTGCCCCGTGTTTGCACTTATATACTTTCATTAACTTTTATGCGACATTTCGCAAGAAATTCTTCAATTAGTTTTAGGTGTTGCTTTAGCACTTTTTAGCGGTATTGAGGCATTTATGTCGTCTTAGTATAGCAGTATCATCCGCAAAAGTCACTTGTAGGAATGTCTGCGGTGAACAAAATATACAATATTGGTCAAAGAACACTATCCTGCGGAACACCTGACGTGATTAGATACTTTTCACCGAGAAATGAAGAGGAAAGCAAGACGCATTGTCTACAGATGCAGAAGAAGACAGAGTCCGAGATGCGTGAGTATGAAGAGCTTGGGAAGCTGGCCGACAAGTGTAATGCTAGAAAATTTTATGAAAAGATACGTCGGCTTACAGAAGGAAAAGAAGTTCCATTATCCGTCTACAACGTAGTTCGAATAGTGATTATCCAAATAAGGAACAACAAAGAGCTGATGGCTACCGGCAGAGCAATTTAAACATGGTGGTAAACAGCTGACAAGGTGCATGCATCAACTAGTTTGCAGATTCTGCCTAATCCACTGAAAAAGCGTACCCCACAGTCAACACGAGCTCCCGAACATAAGGGCACATAAGGGCCTTTCTCGATTGCAGCGAAAAGACGTTCCTGCCTTCTAAGAGCACCATAATTTGAAAACGGCTCAGAGTTAACTCTAGCTAATATATTTTTAATTAAGTTTTAAAATTTGTACACATACTGCCACGCCTAAGAATGTTTAAGTAAACTCAGCAAAGAAATGAATTGTATAAAAAATATGTTTAATGAATCTTCATACATATATGAATTAGGCATTCTCAATGCGCAATTTTTAGAGGAGTCAATGTCGCGTAGAACTTAAAACTCACGTCATATATCATTAAAATTATAATTATTCTTATTAAACAATGTTGTTTTACCAATGGAAACACTCTTAGAGACAGAATTCGTGATGGCAGTTCGTGGTTGTGTTACTATTTTTGTGGGACATATATGTATAACAAAACGGAAAGTAGAGGTTAGTTCAACCCTTTCAATATAGAATTATGGCGGGCCTTGCACTGCAGATTTGTAAAACGAAAACGGGTACGTTTCTTTACTACAATTAAAAAATTCCTACTATTTAAAAAAATTTTGAGATTTAAGAAACCAAGTAATTTATTAAATGATGACAATGATTTGAAGAAGTGGATAGGTTAGAGTGGTGTAACGCCAACAGCAAATCAACGTTAATAATTTTTGCTATGTTTTAGAGTTTAATTTAACGATACAACCTCCACCGACCCTAAACTGTAATCAAATGAAAATTGTACCCAACTGAAAACATCTAGGCAGAATATAAGAATACTGAACACAATAATCAGAACATATCATACATGAACTTTATGCTTGAAAAAAGCACTGTATATAATGATTGCAATAAATGAAATAAATATTTCACTTAGAAAAGTCACATAAGCCAACAGATTTCTGCTTAAGTCCCCTTTTCAGATCTGAAGTAATATATTATATTTTGATATTGTTTTATTCTGCTTAGTTGATCAAAATTGTTCCTCGAACTTTGTTATAAAACTCTGATAATTGTAACCAGTTCGCCTGAATACCAAATTCAATTTCGAGTGTTAAAAAAGTAAGAAAATCTACTTTACCGGTAACAGTGAGAATAGGCCTGTAGATCGCGAAAAAGTCAACCGACCCTCGTAGCGTATGAGAATAAAAACTGCTAAGCGGTGCTTCTTTTTCTCTATTAGTATCTAAAATGCATTCAAATATCAAAAGGGAAAAATTCAATCCAAATGGAAAGGAGACAGAAAATTTTAGCGTAAATAGTGCACCCTTTGATGAAAAATGAATATAAAATACATCAGCTTGAAATAATTAAATCATATAAATTTGTTCTTAGTTTAAGTTTAAGGTTAATGCAATTACCTGTTTATATCAAAAAAACTAACCTTCGAAGCTCGGACGGTACCAACACCTGCACAACAGAGAACGTAAATACATTGTGCACAATTTTAATGTAATGCGATTATATTGGCAAAGAATGTTTATCAACGAGAAGGATCAGCGCATGGGGCTTGCCACTTTTTCGTCTACCAGAACACACACAGCGTGTTTTTAACCCAGGAATCTATGAGCGTATTTCACCACAAATTAACGGTGAGCAGGCAAAAATCGGTCTTAAAATTGCAGAATGAATAATATGAAAACTGAGAAAATCAGTGTAAAATATGATAAAACCTATGCAAGATAAATGTTAGCAAATATATCAACCAAAAATTTATTTAAACTTATTAATTTCGTTATTGGCTTTAATAGTTTGAAACTTCATTAAACAATTTTGAAATATATAAAATTCAAATATTATTTTTTATACCCATTTATATATATTTTTTATATTTTTTAACGATTAGTGATAATTATGATGAATTAAATGTAAGAAATAATGTCTCAATATTTGATTAAATTCTATTAAATATTTACCCGAGAACAATAATAATTAATTAACATTCTCAGTATTTATTTACATACATAGTTTTAGAGGTAAATATCAAAAAAGTAAAAAAATCAAAATTCATCCACGCGCGCAAATATATGTATGTACATTTCTTTTCACATGTATGCACATGAATGCAAACTTACACGTTTGTTTAGAATCAAAAGTTAACGTATCCATACAAAAAACTAAATAATTCGCATTGCTATGACAATACTATTATAATCGCCGCAATTTGATATTAGAAAATGTCAAAATTTTGAAGTTGAAAAAATTTGTGTTTTCTATCGACAATTGTAAAACGCAGTCACGAAGGTGCGAGCTGAGTTCTATACAATTATCAAACGAATGTTTAACAAAGAATTGTCCATAAACCACGTAGTCATATTTTAGGCCTTCGTACACCCCTCCCTTCATTTATGTAGACTAACATGGCTTTTTCTGATACCCTGGAGGGGTCTTCACGCAGACTTCTTTTACACTTCTCTTCGTTTTCCACTTAATATGTACATATGTATGTATTAAAAAAAATATTCTATTTTAAGTGATTACTTACTTACTTACTTACTTTACTGGCGCAGACACCGCTTACGCGATTTTGGCCGATTTAACAACATTGCGCATTCGTTTTTTCTTTTTGCTGTTTGGCGCCAATTCGAAATACCAAGTACACCCAGTTCCTTCTCTACCTGGTCTTTCCAACGGAGTGGAGGTCTTCGTCTTCGTCTGCTTCCACCGGCGGGTACTGCATCGAAAACTTTCAAAGCTGGAGTATTCGCATCCATCCGGACCACGTGACCTAGCCAGCGTGGCCGCTGCTTCTTGATTCGCTGAACTATATCAATGTCGCCTTATAACTCGTATAGCTCATCGTTCCATCTTCTGCGATATTCGCCGTTGCCAATACGCATCGTCCATGCTTCCGCACCATATAGCAGGACGGGAACGGTGAGGGTCTTGTAGAGTTTGGTTTTCGTTCGTTGGGAGAGGGCTTTACTTTTCAATTGCCTACTCAGTCCAAAGTAGCACCTGTTGGCAAGAGTGAATCTGCGTTGGATTTCAAGGCTGACATTATTGTTGGTGTTGATGATGGTTCCTAGGTAGATGAAATTATCTACGACTTCAAAATTATGACTGTCCACAGTGGCGTGGGAGCCAAGTCGCGAATGCGATGACTGCTTGTTTGATGACATCCTCGTTCACTACCAGACTCTGGCCTTTCGAATGGCAGTACGCAATGTTAGCCACTCGGCTATTTTGGAATCAATTTTATAAGACTCACTTCACTAGATGTTTATGGGATAGTTAATTTGTTGTAGAAGTATTAGTGGTACACAGAGATCACTGTACCAGAATTCATACAACAAAATAATGTACATTTTCTGAGTTGAACTGGAATTGTCTACGACAATGTTGCCATTCTTCGCTTGTAAATTTTCTTTCCCGAATAAAATATAAAATATTCTACAATTTTAGAATTTAAGAATTTCATCATCCTGGCCACAATTCAGCTTGAGGACAAGGCCAATATAAGTTAATAGTCGAACATCAAATTTAGCAACAGAATGCCGATTTTTTCATTTTAGTAGACAAATTCGAGTATTTGAATTTTTGTCAGTTAAAATTTGAATCAATATTATTTTTGCAGGTTGAAAGGAAAGGGGCAGGTAAATGTATTTTGTTGTTGCTTCATGTATTACGACCATTTTTGATTTTTGATTTGTTTTTGATGCAAGGGCATGTGTGTGGTAGAATTTGAATAGTTTGTAGATGTCGAAGGAATTTTACTGTAGATTTACGGTTTGAAGGAAGAGGGGCATTCGATTTTTTGAATTTTGTCAAGAGCTTGTAGGCACGGTTATGCAGGGTGATGTTTGCGATAAAATTATGAATGGAAATGCTTTTGTTATATTTTATTAGAATTTTAAGCTTTCAAGGATTGTGATATGCGTTTAGAGGGATAGAGTAGGGGACCATTAAAATAATCAGTTTAAATCTATTTGCTAATGCGTGTATGTATGCACAAATATAATATTTCTTGACACAATTAAGTACTTTCTATGGTTCATATACCGGTAATTTATAAAAATGTAAGTCTTATCACTCCATATCAGAAAGTAAATTGTATTTTCATAATTTTACTCTAACCATATTTATGCTTTAAAAGTTTATAAAATTATCAATATTATTTTCTATAAGATGATACAATAAAACTTGATTCTTTCATTCTTATTCTGTGAATTTCTTATTGCATATACAGATTAGAAACAAAATTTTCGCATATTTTGATATCAAACGCACAAAAAGTTTTGTATCTAAATTCAACATACAACATTGTTATTTCGAGACGGAGAATATATTTCAGAGCTTATTTATTACAACTACTCTCACCAATGTTATACGCTAAGAGAAAACTCTGTTAATTCCTGTGACAGTGGTGAAAAAACGTTCATTGCGTTCTCGCTCATTTGAAAGCTTCCATGCTGGTCCACAACTGAACCTTCTCGTTGCAATGAGTTCTCTGCTAGATATAAAAATATACGTGTATGTTGAGAATTCAAATCTTTTTTTCCTATCTCAGCGAGTATATGCCCATCATGATCATTGCATATAGTAATATGTATGAAGGTATCTTATGGGGAAGAGATTGACTCACTCACAATTTAAAGTGATTAAATACAAATCACAAATTAATACTTATATATTTTGCTCAGTTGGTAATAATAACTTTTCGTGTTTCACTTATTTCGGAAAACTCACGCAATAACTCACTTTCTAAAAATAAAAAATCTTGAGCGATATTTTGACTGAAAAAATATCTCTAGAAAATAACAATTATTATCTTAGCGAATTTTTTGCTCACATTAAAAATAGTTATTGCGTACATGTTGCTAAGTTTGACGGCACTTTTAGCTTTAAAACTCGGAAAATTCTTTTCCTCAGCGGCTCAACCGTGAGATAGTATGATTGGATGAAAGGGAAAACTCGATAAACCATTGTAATCATACCATACCACTACAGTCCCTTTCACTGGCTTAGAGGCAGAATTTTTGAAGCGAAAACGGCTTGATTGAGGTATACAGCTGTATACTGTATTAAACTTAGCAACAAATAATTATAGAATACTTCAAATGCCAGATATATTGTACTTCATACGAATGTATAACGTCATTGCCAATTTAACCCCGTTAACGGTACTTTTTATTTATTATCCAAGAAGATGAAAGAAGTGCCTACTATTTGGAAATCTTGTATGGATTAAAAAATAAGACTACAAAAAAAAATTGCTTGCACTAAAACATTCATTGAAAATTTTACTTTTTCTTATAAGTACTTGCTTATTTATTTTCAGATACGTGTGCAAATAAAAATCGTAATACTATCATGTTCTCAATGCAATCAAAACTAAAATTAAATTAATTGCAACATCCAAAAAATCACATTAAGAAACGAGTGCAAATTGTAAACCATACAAACCGCAATATGGTCCACAGAAAAGTCGTTCAATTAATCAATACAAGACCTCTTCGAATGAACACGTTTCAGTATCATGACAAAGTGAAGTCAGCCGTAATGTTAGTTATAGCTTCATATTTAGTATTAAGCAATTTAATTTGTGTCAAAGCACAAACTCGAGACCCAAGGTTCTTCTCGCGACCGGGTGTCAATGACTACAATTGGCCAAATCCAGGAGATCCAGATTACAGGTAAAAATTAATTTCAAGATATACATACCCATATAACTATTTCCGTTTCTTCGATTTTTTTCGTAGAACTTATATTTTCAATGATCGACGTTATGGACACTATTTGCCTAATGGTTATGGCACGAATTATCCTGGCAGGAACTCACCGGGTCAATACCCACAAGGAATGCCAAACGAAGATCGATTTAGATTCGATCCGGTAAGTCGTCTAGCAAAAGTAATACTTTAAATAACGTTACAACATATGTTTTATGAGAAGTTGAGTAGCTTAAAATTATAATTTTTTTTACCGAAAATGGTTCTATGGCCGGGAACCAATATTAAAGAGATAACGAGTTGACTTGCCATCGAACTTAAAGCCTTCATACATTTGACATTGACTACGATAAGCCCATCCCATTGTTGTTGATTAGAGTTCTACGGGTCTATTCTATACCTAGTTCTTCCGCTTAGAAGTAGCAAAATTATGTAGACGAAAAGAAAGGTAGATTTTGAGTTCTTCGGAAAATATCCCCGTTTCTGTACCGCAGTTGAAATCGGATCTAGCGGTGCAGATTTCGATGGTGTCCTTTTCCTCAAAAAAATCTTCTCTAATCACGTCTAGAGGATATACTCGCCTTGAGGCAACTATTGAAATCTAACCTTGGAAGGATATGGTATGATTTATATACATAAACGTGTTTTGCGTTGATTTTGTATGTCGTTATGTCCAAATCGTGTTTGTTTCCAACAACTTCATTCTAAAAGTCTGGTGGCAGAACTTACTGAAACTCACCTTATAGATGTCTGTAGGCTATTGATATAGGAACATGTTAAGAGCATTTGTAGGACTTGGCTTTATGGCTCCTTTGATCTCGGCAATGCTGGTCATTACATCCTATTTACTTTCCTAATATTATACTGTTTCTGCAATGCTGGCCACCAAACCGCAGCTCCATTTGTTAGAATTGGTTTAAGTACGTATACATTCACATAACTGGACTTGTTTAATCCACCAGTTGCCGCTAATAATCCAGTTGCAATTATAATATGGCACGTAGGCTTTCTTAATTCGTTTTTCAACATCCATTTTTGAGTTCAGTTTGGTATCAATCTCATCCCCTATATATTTTGCTCCTGAGGATAAGGGGATTGTAGTACCGTTGAGCGAAGGAAACAGAAATTGTGGTGTTTTAGTTCTATATTCGAATAACATCAGCTCCGTCATACTAGGATTAATACCTAGTCCGTGTTTACTTTGTCATGTATGTAATCTTCGTAAAGCTCTCTCTACAACCTCGCTAATAGAAGGAAACAGACCGGATACTATTAACACAAACTCGTCTGCATATGCTACTACTTTTGCTCCTCTTTCGTTGAGGTCAAGTAGGATTTCGTAAAGCATCACCACCCATAGAAGCGGGGTCAAAACATCTCTATGAGGGATTTCTATGCTAACATCGATTGCTTGTGTCGCTAGCCCACTGGAAGTTATAATCGTTTTATATTGTTGAAGGCTCCCTCTATATCTGTAAGTGTCGGTATTATGTATAATGATTTTCCTGTTATACTGATCACTTCATGTATGCATGTCGATAAACTTATACCTGTTAGAAGTTATCTTATGGGCGGGTTATGATTACGAAGGTAACTTTTAATTCTGCCAAACTTCGTTCTAGGTAAGCCAGATGAATACTGGCTTTCTAGATACAATCCAATCTGAACCCTATGTTTATTACATAGATAATTTTGGCCTCGTTCACGATTTAACTAGAATGGCTCTTGATGTTGTTTGGTGATAACCCGGAAAGCTGAGCTTAATGATTAGTCTTTCTCTAGATGAAAAGGAACCTTTCCAACTTGTATTAACACAAACCTCATTTCTCCACTTGCAAACTGTTTATTTGTGCCTGGATATATTCCACGAACTCCTTTTGATTTACCTGCTACAGAGCCTTTTGAGCCGCATGAGTTAATGCCCAGTCCACTCACTTGCAGATGTGAAGTCAACATGTTTTTTGCGATTTTATTATGATTTCAAATGTGTCAAACTGATAAGGAAGATCTATCAGTATAAAATTGAGTATGTGTTAAATGAACCAACAGCTCTTCTCCGTGTCCAAATCCGAATGATTTTTTGTTTCACAAAATGGAATCTCTTATCAACGAGTCCTATTAAATAGAGCTGTTGATTAAAAGTTTAGAATATGATTTCGTAGGCTGGGGATGGTTTTACCCCTGCCAGCCGACATAAAAATATTTTTATAAATAGTCACTCCTCGATATGGTATGCTAAACCTACGAGTATAATTCTGGTGTAAAAATTATAGTTTCCCAGAGACTTTAAAGGGCAAAACGTATAAAAATCAAGACGTACTACACAATTCGGAATATGCAATTAACCTAAAATCGCTTATAAATCACCGATTTTCCATGCCTATATCAAATTATCTTCAGAAAGAAGCCACTTGGAGAACAATAAGCTTTCTGTTCATTGTATATATTTTCAAAATATTGTTACGATTTTACTAAATCAACCTCGATTATTTTCCGAATCCTTCGGGTACGATCTCTGGATTGTTAAATAAAACTCGCCAACTTAATTTGCAGTTTCTTTCGTTATAAAGATTTTATCTAATGTCTTTTATTTACTCCGTAATTCACAATACAATTACAATACACTCTACTATTTACAATCACTATCATCAACTTGCACAATTCACTCTACTTAAATGTACTCTCCAACGTGTTTACTTTACGACTTTACTGATGTTAACGCCAACGAGTTTACTTTATCACTAACTTGACTTGCAGCTGAGTGTCGCCTTTATATAGCAGTCGGCTGCTCGCAGACGAAAGCGTAGAAGCATCGAATTGTTCGCTATGGAAGGTTCTTGTTTTATCGTTTCTAGAACGTACTAGTTATCGGCTTCTCTCTTTTCTCTGACATTCGCCTCGCATTTTCGCAACAATATGTTACAAATACTCATACATACATACTATGTACGTATGCATGTGTAACCTTATTGTTTTCAAAACTTTTAGCTCAGTGGGTGCTCATTCAGCGTTGACAGTGAACTAATTAAATCTAACGACCCCACTGTATGGGGTCATTTCAGTTATCGATAATTATAACAGTTATAATTAAATTTGGATATTATAAGCATATACATACTCGTACATATGAGTTCACGAAGTTTTATTAATAGGAAAGTGTGTTATAATAGGGTGGGCTAATTTTTTTCAATTCCGATAACACTCAAGTTTGAAAGCTTTCCAAATACGGATATTATATCAATTTACATATGTGGCTTTTTAGAACCGGTCAGACTTATTTATTTTTAGATATTGTAAGATGGTGATTGGAAAAGAATGATTGAAAGTTGAAATGTCTGATTATTTTCTTACAAATTAGTGTGAAAGAGTATATGCATACGTGATCAATGTACAAATTGCAGTGGCTGAGGCATCATAGATAGGCATTAAGTATCTTCAAATCTACTCAAAGTCAAAGTTTTATTACGCTTACGCGAAACAATGTCTTGCTAAGCACAATTTATGCTTTTATCGAAGTCCTACCATTAACATTATTATTTATTTATTGAATAAGAAATAAAATCTTAAACTGAACTTAAACATAGAGCACATTAGTAAGAATGGGCTGCTGGCTTGACGTTGTTTTTTAAAAGGCTGCTCTGTCTCTTCTCTGCAAGCGGGTTTGACTTGTTGCATGGGCCAAAGTGTTAGCCAAAGTTTTCGGATGGCTACGCAGTTTTGTTAAACATTTTTGTGCTGCGATTTCAACCTCTTCCTTGATGGGTGGCTATATTCAAATCTATGTGGATTTATTTCAACGATTTCGTTTGGAACCTTAGAATTGTATCTATATTCGTCGCGCAAGGTGTCCCCATAACTGGATTCCATACGTTAATATCGGTTTATTGTTGCATTATATAAGAGGATTTTGTTGCTAAGGCTAAGTCCAGACTTCTGGTTTAAAAGCCAATGTGCCGCCTCCATGTTAGCGCATGTCCAAGTGGATTCCGTGGTATGTAATTTCGTGAGCTTGCGGGATCGACACATTGCTGAGCTGAACAGTAGGACACTTTTTTGGCCTTAATGTAAAAGTTATGTGCACATCTACCATGATATGATACTCCTCTGTTATGTATTTATTTACTTTTACAGTGAATCGCTGTTGGATGAGTAGGATTCAAGGAATCGGAATGCAAGCATAATGCGCATTAGGACCAGCGACGCATGTAGGAAGTGAAAGGAGGAAGGTATGAGTTAGGTTTTAGAACACCTCCTCTGTTTCTGTCTGTGCTTAGCTAGAACTCGTCTTAGATATATCGCAGGTTCTCAATTAAAAGGGCTAGAGAGGGCTTCAATGGATAATTCAAATTGGATATTAAGGCAATAAGGCAATAAATAAACACATTGCCACATTCGTGGCTTTTACTGACGATAAGAAAATTTGTCGCCAATTTCATCGACAGGTAATAATGTGAAAAAATTCATTGAAATGAATATATTGTAATATAATATTAAATAAGTCTATTAATAAAATCCTTAACTACTTTAGGTAAATTAACAATTACTGTATTCGGTTTTTTCGTTATTACGATTTTCACTACCGGTTTCGTTGCTTGATTGACGATAGCTCAATGACAATTAAACTTCAGATAAAAAGTCACAGAACACGTTACAATCATAGTCAGCTCCTACAACTATCTCATTACGCAAACATATAAAGGCTCCCTCGTATATACATGTATGTATGTATAAATGGCGTCTTGTAACCTATGATGTGCGTCTTGATGTTTTTGTTTCAAACTATTTGATGGGCCTATAGTTTGTTATAAGCCGTCTGCGAACGGCTGATGGATTTTTATAAGGAGCAATTGATTTCATGTTAGAAATACACTCGGCGAGGTTGCTATCCGTATTGCTTTATTTTATTTATTTGATTTATTATTATCTGACTTGTGGTATACAACATTTTGTATTCCTAGCGAATGTAGGAGCTTTTATTATATGTCAGAAAAACGGTAGGGGGGTTCTCTGCGGAGGTGCGACCATAATTGTCCTGGGTTCGAACCGAGAGCTTGACCGCCTCTCGAAATCCGTAAGCCCGCTCGGAGGCAGTTTAGAATAAACGGGTCGGTCCATTGATTGGTGTATTTCATGTCACCTACTGTTTATTGGAGGTAGACCACCTTTGCGGTCTTTTGGGTACTATTATAAATAAAGGAACATTTATCCAGGTTTTTATTTCTTTGAGTCACTTTCATTCATTGAGAGGACAACCTTATATGAAACGTTAAATTATAAGCAGTTCTACTTATTAAACGAGATGATTAATCTAAATTAATATATAGTAATTGATCTTTGGGTCAATGCACCTTATAATCTTATTCATCATTCAATTAAAAAAAAATACTGACTGACATATACGCAGATAAAATCTGCATAAAGTTCATATGTATTTGTCAGTTTCATATCGTACATACATAAACGCATGTACATGTATACGCACATTGCCAAAGATCTATGAATTAATTAACCTTTATTATTGCAGAATAACCCCAACGCTGCACATACCCCTTTCCCTGGAATTTTGGCTGGTTGGCGTGAAGATTTACAGGGTAAACAACGACGTGACTCACTCACATTAGATCGCGATGTATTTGTCACCACCAATTATGGACAAGTTCAGGGCTTCAAAGTCTATATGTACGATAATCCCGATCCAAAATCATTCTACAGACCTTACCACTCGACCGTTGATCGTGTGATGGGTGAATGCTCAGTTTTCTTGGGTATTCCTTATGCGTTGCCACCTACTTTCGAGGGCCGCTTTAAGCCACCGCGTTTGCATCGTGGATGGCAGTTGTTGCAAGCAGTTGATTATGGACCAGCGTGTCCACAGCCAGTACGATATACGGGCGCCACAAAAGGAATTATGGATATGGATGAAGATTGCCTTTATTTGAATATTTTTTCACCGAAGGTAAATATTGGTTGTATTTAATAGTATATATAGTTATAGCATAGTTAAAATGATTATTTTTTTTTCAAGACTGGTGCTGGTGTGGCTCAAAAGTATCCCGTTATGGTGTATATACATGGTGGAGAATTCATACGAGGTGCCTCAAACCTGTTTCAGGGCCACATACTAGCGTCTTTCTATGATGTTGTTGTTGTTACTATAAACTACAGGCTGGGTGCGCTTGGCTTTCTCTCTACTGGCGACGATAATTCGCCGGGAAATTATGGTATATTAGATCAGGTTATGGCACTGAAGTGGATATATGACAATGTTGAATTCTTTAACGGAGATCGTGAATCCATTACATTGTTTGGTCCTGGTGCAGGTGCCGCATCTGCGGGTCTTTTAATGGTTGCACCACAAACTAAAAATATTGTGAAAAGAGTTATTGCTCAATCTGGAGCTGCAATGGCAGACTGGGCGCTTATTCAAGACAAATACCGTGCACAGAACACTAGCAGAGTTCTGGGACAATTACTTGGTTGTTCAATCGAATCATCTTGGAAATTAGTAAACTGTTTAAGAACTGGACGTAGCTTTTATGAACTTGGCAATGCAGAATTTCCACCACAAGTGGGTACTTTTCCCTGGGGGCCAGTGTTGGATCATAATTTTACCGTTCCAGGTGATGATTGGTATGAAGGTTGGCGTGAAAAAGATTGGCGATTTCTTACACAAACACCGGAATATCTTATTCGCCAGGGACACTTCAATCGTGGGTTACAGTATATGACTGGAGTGACGACACAAGAGGCATCGTTTTTCGTTGCGCAAAATGAGTCACTTGCACCATACTACGAAATTGATCATACATTTTTTGATGCGAAAATTAGAGAGCATGTTTTTCGCTACAATTACACACTAAATCCGAATGGGGTGTATGAGGCTATCAAATATATGTATACATATTGGCCGGACCCCAACAATAGTTCGGTAATACGTGATCAGTATATTAATTTGCTTTCCGATTTATACTACCGAGCGCCGGTTGACAAAATGGTGAAATTGCTTTTGGAACAACGTATACCGGTATATATGTATGTCCTAAATACAACGGTGGAAGCTTTGAACTATCCGCAATGGCGAAAATATCCTCATAATATTGAGCACTATTTTCTAACCGGTGCCCCATTCATGGATATTGAATTCTTTCCCAAAAAGGAACATTTACAACGTAACATGTGGACGGATAATGACCGAAATATGAGTCATTTCTTCATGCAAACATATTCAAATTTCGCCAGATATGGGTAAGTTAAAATATACAAATAATAATAAAACCAGTTCTATATTTTCAAAAGGTGCTTATTGAAAAAGTATAAAAAGTTGTGCTAAAAAATCATATTTGTTAGTTATGGCATTGTTGAAGTTTTATATATATGTATGAATGTATGTACATAATGGGGGATTAAAAACGGCCTTTGAAAAATTAAAAATAAATTTTTTGGTCGGCGGAAAGTCGAAACGTGTACATTTTAGTAGACAAATCGGCCGGCAAGATGTCGATGTTGGGTCTTCGACATATCTACCACCGTCTATACGTCGTCGACTAGCTGCTACCCTTTTCTTTGTATCGCTGAGCTGAACGGCTGGAACATATGGGCGTTTTGCTAATATCATGAGTATGATGTGTAAGAATGCAATAATACCAAGAGGACCTGGAATCGCATAGATAGGTAGGCTGAGTAAATACTACATAATGATGCGGACATGTTCAACATAGTTAGCCTATAAAGAGGACATATGCCTGAATGAATTGCCAGGAAAAGTCTTGTGCTGATTATATGGGGGCGATGTCGATTTCAATTATCTTTAGGAATGTTTCCTGTGTGTGTTGAAACCCGAAAGCTGCCCGAAATGCCACGTGGTCAAGTCAGATCGATATAGCTTTCATGGAGAAACATGCGTGTGAGGCTCATCGAAAGGTATATAAATACTTTAACCAGGAATGGGGCTGGCTAAATTCGCTTCAGTAGTGTGTTATTTCTGAAGGTAGCACATTCAAGATCTGAGATATCATTTACTCTTTGTATATCGTATTTTACAGCGAAATATGCACTTTTTCACCTTAGTTTTAAGTCGTGGGATGTGCTGCACTATTCGTACTATCAGTTGATTACCACATAGTAGTATGGAAATCTATAAGCAGAGGATCTCCTGAGACAGTTATAGGGTGATAAGTCGAGTTTTCACTTCATTTATTTCTTCGTGGGATTAGAACGGAGTTGCTTGTTCCAGCTAGTTAATACGAATAAAACGGTACATATAGGCGAGGAGAATCTTTTCAAAATGCCTTGCATCTTTGTATAGATAAATAGATTGGTACTGTTGGAATAATTTTGCGAGACAAACCAACCCCCAGAGCTCTGAACGCGGGAAAACTTATCTTTGAGGGAGTAAGTAGGAAGTGAAAGAGTTTTCACCACTTTGTACTATAATATACACACAGCTGCATATTTCTATGTGGAGGCATCTGAAAATCCATGCAGTTGAATTGCTTTATCAGGAGAGAATTGCAGGTAGATTTCTGTTGAAGGATCCCTAGTTTAAAATTTCCATCCTAACCCGTTCCTTTCAGCTAAAGTGTGTGAAGTAGTTTCTTTGCTACAATCATTATAATTGTTGACCAGAAGTAAATAAGCACACATATATACATACATTTCGTAAAAGTATTTTCATTTTTAAATATTTGAATGCAAACTTTTATTTACAGCAATCCAACACCACAGCAAGTGTTAGGCTTGCATTTCCAACGTGCATACCAAGGAGAGCTGCGATATTTGAATATAAACACGACTTTCAACTCATCAATATTGCTCAATTATCGACAAACAGAATGCGCATTTTGGACGCAATATTTACCAACGGTAATCGGTGTGCTTGTTCCGACTTATCCACCCACAACCGAGTTCTGGTGGGAGCCGAAAGAGCCTTTGCAAATTGCTTTCTGGACTATGTCAGTGGCTTGTTTCTTTCTTATTGTTTTAGTAGTGATTTGTTGCATTATGTGGAGGAATGCCAAAAGGTAATAAGAAGAATGACAGCTTCGTTTTGCATAAATCTATTAGTTTATGGTTCATGTTATGCGTTATTCCATATTTTACATGTTATATTTAATTTCTTAATAATCTTTTATAGGCGATCAGATTTCTACGATGATGACGTTTTCATAAACCCCGATGGTGCAGAGTTACCTGATGAAGTTCACACCGGTGTGGATAACACACACATGGTAGCCAATCCCCATGCTATGCGATCACGTGACAACATATATGAATATCGTGATTCACCATCTTCAAAGACGCTCGCTAGCAAAATTCATACAGACACAACATCTATTCGTTCACCAAGTTCTTTAGCCATGACGCAGAAAAGTGGCAGTCAGTCGTCTCTAAAATCTACTATGTCTTTAAAAGAAACCACTGGTGGTACGTTAACTAGCTGCTCCAGCAGTGCACGTCCTTCCCGCACGAATGGGCTGCATAACGGTTCAGCTGCAACAATACAGACACCAAAAGTATTCGAAGAAAAACGTTTAATAACTCGTGAACTTACTAAGCCAGAACCGATTTCCAGTACTCCACTTGTTACAACTTCAACTGCGAAAATTTCTATCACTTCAGAACCCATTAGTCTTAAGCCAACTTCAAATATTATCGCCACTAGCACATCTCCCAACTTAACGGGCACTGTGAGTAGTCGCAGTACGACGCCGGTGCCGAGTGCACGAACGCACACGCATACCACAACGGCTACAGTAACTAGTGCACCACAGGTTCAACGCCCAGTTCTACCTACATCTTCTGCTCAAGCTCAATCTAGAGCGCAAGCTCGAACACAAGTTATAGAAGGTGTACCCCAAACATCGGTTTAAGAAACACCTCTCTAAGTGAGTTATCGAACTTTGAAAGCCTCACTTAGAGAGTATAAAACAGAAATAGCTAATAATATAATAATTACTTTCATGCATACATATATTATTTAATTTGTATATAGATTTATTAATGTAAATAACGATCAAAAATAATCATATTGATATGACATATGACATATGAATGACATATGTATGTATATACATATATGTATATAGATTTAACTAAAGAGGCGGAAAGATTTTCGCAGTTATCCTGCAAACCAAATGGAAGTGATTTCGCTTCGATTTCGATATCTGACTCGGATCAAAAGTTGTACGGCAATCGTATCGCAGTTAAAAAGCTCGAACCAAAGCGAATTTATAATGGGGAAAGAATGAGAGCTAACACAACAGTTACGTTGTATTTTGTTTTTGCATATACATAGGTAGCTGTTGTCTAAATCATGGAAAATTAGTTGACTTTTAGACAACCACAAACTCTGTCCCAGAAATGTATTAGAGTTTTATGTGCCTACATTTTATTTTAAGTCTACTGCCGACATACGAATGAAGTATCAAATCATCTACGCCATTGGCTAATAAATATTAGATAACATTGGGCATTGCAGGGACATACATTTGCTTACCTCATTTTTCTACCAAAATTGGTAGAGCATCTATCTGCTGACGCCAAACTAGACTAAATTGTCGATTAACACATTAGAAATAATTACATTAAGTCTGCGTTAGAATATAAAAATGTTAACATTGACTTTCTGAAAACAATTTTGTAAAAAATTTATATATAAAAAGATTGTATATAAAGTTTTTTTTATATATAATAATTTAATACAAACAGTTGTGGTGAAGTTGAACTTTGCAGTCGAAATACATTGAGCTGCCAAAGGTTCACAGGTAGCAGCCTAACAATATGATAAGATCTTTAGCGGTTACTCCCTTTTATATAATATTATTTTTTTTTTAGTATTTGAACGAATAAAACAGAAGCTAATTTTAATTTTTTTTTTTCATCTTTAATTATATTATACATATAATGATATTTAAGTATCTATTTGTGTACGTGTATATATGTACACGTAAATGTTCCATTTTTTATTAAGAGTTCATCAAACGTTTAATACATTTATCTAAATTCAAGTATTAATAATTAATTGAAGTGCATTACCATTGCAACTCGCATTATCAGTGGAATCCGTCCAAAATGTAAGTGCCTAAGCTGACAAGTGCGTGTCCTCTTGTTTTTGTTTATGTAAATATGAAATACAAAAATGAAAGAAACGTTATACTATTTAATAATTTTAGTTGTAATTATACTTCAACATTGCAACGAATAACCGTCTACGGTACGTTTTATACGTAAGTTTATGTTATGTATGTGTGTATTAACTCAAATATAGTTTGTAATTTGTACTGTACTTTGTGTAACAAATAAATTTTAGTTGTAATTTGTCCAACTGCCTTGCCTTGTCCTTGTAGAAAATATTTATATATGTATATATATGTGTGTGTTAATATAATACATATTTATTGTGTCTTGTAAACACAATTTTAATTAAACTCACCAGAATAGAACGAAACGGTTTATTTCGCTTTATGCTTCACGGCTGCTGACCAACGAATAAAATCGTTAAGTCAAAAATCCAATGGCGAAGCAACTCACGGATAATTTCAAAAGGAATACAAGCAACTAAAAAGACAAAGAATGCAAAATATTATGAATCATTCACACCATAGGTTGTCGTTCTTCTACATATCGAATTCCTTATTCTGAACCTCCGTCTTAATCGAAAACAAAATATATCAGTTTAGCTTTTTTCTATCTACATAAATATATCTAACCGCTTTTTCCTTGTGTAGCATTGGCACATCTATTTTTTGCCTTGAAAACATATTTCTTGTAATGAGGATATTTATAATTTAAATTATATATTTAATTACGAAAATACATCTCATAACAAATTCAATGTAATAAAAAATTTTTCTAAAAGTATTTTTTATGTATATATCTAAATGATTAAGATAGTAACATTAGTTATTATAAATCATAGATTAGTTATTATTAAATTAATCCAAAGGTATCTGCTGATTTTCACTTCATTAATTTTTGATTAATCATTTCGTTTTGGATCAGGAGTTTTGTATGCCTGTTTTCTCTCTTTCATATTCTTCTCCTTTCTAGAAAGATTAGAATCAATATTTTTTAATAAATGCTTACATAAAAATAGGGAAAAAACTTCTTTTAGTAAATTGTCATTTTTTCTCGGTGCTTCCCTAATGGTGATATTTACAAAAAAATATTCATCTTTTCGTCTTCGTTTGATAAAAATATGACTAACTTTTTTATTGCTTATGCATTTTACTTACTGAATACTTAATCTATGAATGTACATACACATGTATATACTCGTACAGTAGAAAAATATTGATTGATAGTAGATATGAACAACTACGATGCGTTTAATGCTTTTAAATTGAGTTTCTGAAAAAAAAATATATGTACATAAATATGTATGAATTTTCTTACCGCTAAAAAAAAAATAGCCGGATCAATATTAGCGCGAGAAAATACCAAGAGAAGCTAGGTCACTCTCCATCTGATCCTTCCAACGTAGTGGAGGTCTTCTCCTTCCTCTGCTTCCACCAGCATGTACTGCATCGAATATTTTCAAAGCTCGAGTGCTTTCATCCATTCGGACGACATGACCTGGCCAGCACAGCCGATGTCTCTTCATTCGCTGAACTACGACAATATCATGGAATAACACGTTCAGCTCTGTCCAAAGTAGCACCTGTTGGCAAGAGTGATTCTGCGTTGGATTTCAAGGCTGACATTGTTGTTAATGTTGATGATGGTTCTTAGGTAGATGAAATTATCTACGACTTCAAAATTATGACTATCAACAGTTACGTGGGAGCCAAGTCCCGAATGCGATGACTGCTTGTTTGATGACAGGAGATATTTCGTCTTGTCCTCGTTCACTACCAGATCAATTTGCCTCGCATCTTTATCAAGCCTGGAGAAAGCAGAACTAACAGCGCGGTTGTTGAGGCCGATAATGTCAATGTCATCGCCAGTAATTGTACACTCTTATAGAAGTTCATACCTTCTCTATTCAGCTCTGCAGCCCTTATTATTCTCTCCAGCAACAAATTGAAGAAATCACACGATAAGGAGTCACCCTGTCTGAAACCTCGTTTGGTATCGAACAGCTCGGAGGGGTCCTTCCCATTTATGACTGCGCTTCTGGTGCTGTTTAGCGTCAGCTTACATAGGAGCATAAGTTCTGCAAAGTAGCTGATGCATGCACCTTGTCAGCTCTTCACCGCCATGTCTGAATAGTTCTGCGGGTAGAGCGTCAGCTCCCACTGCTTTGTTGTTTTTTAAGCGGGCGATTGCTATTCGAACTTTTTCATGGTCAGATAATGGAACATCTTTTCCATCGTCATCGATTGGGGTTTCGGGTTCCGCTTGCAGCTGTACGAAGGGAGCTTGCGATACCGATTGCACCTTTTCAACGTCGAACTTTCCTTGTGTTTTTTGACGGGCGTTCTTCGATACACAGAGGCGCATGCGTATCTTCGCTGCAACAAGATAGTGTCGATGTTGGGTCCTCGGAGTGTGCGCACGTCAAGAACACTGGAGACATGTATTTCGTCTATCACAACATGATCGATCTGGTTTGTGTTTTTCGATCAGGGGACAGCCAAGTAGATTGACGTATTTTTTGTGCTGGAATCTAGTACTACAGACAACCATATTTTGGGCCCCGGCGAAGTCGATCAGCTTCAACCCATCAGGGGATGTTTCGTTGTAAAGGCTGAATTGTCCAATAGTTGTACCAAAGATACCATCTTTGCCCACCCTGGCATTAAAGTCGCCAAGCACGATTTCCACGTCATGTCGGGGGCAGCGCTCGTAGATATGCTCTACGCGCTCATAAAAGGCATATTTGGCCAAATCACCCTTCTCTTTCGTCGGGGCGTGGACGCATATCAGCGATATGTTGAAAAATTTCGCTTTGATGCGGATTGTGGCGAGACGCTCATCCACCGAAGTGAATGCCAGTACTCGACGACGGAGCCTCTCTCCCACCACAAATCCAACACCAAATTTGCGCTCCTTTATATGGCCACGGTAGTTAATGTCACAAGAACTTACTCGCTTTTGTTCTTGTTCCGTCCATCGCACTTCTTGGATGGTGGTGACGTCAGCCTTTATTATACCGAGGACATCAACCAGCTTGGCAGCGGCACCTTCCCAATTAAAGGATCGGACATTCCAGGTGCATGTTCTCAAATCGTGATCCTTAATTCGTTTGCGGGGGTCCTAAGCAGAAAGGGATATCTCATCCGAGATATTGTTGAATTTTTCATTGGAGTTGGTTTCTACGTAGCGGGTCCCAAACCCAGCGCATAACCTCGTTAGGCGAGCAAGTTTAAGGGTTTTTATACATTTATATTGCGAGCCGCTTGCTTCAAGACCGACGCCCGCTCGTCGCACCTCTGGTGAACAAACGCTGCAATTAGACTTCAGCAGACCTTTAAACCGAATATGTCGGAGTAGCCCCCATGAAGCTTATCCTCTCATTAGCCGTGACCCGAGGCTCCACACGGGTTGGTTACCGCATCTTGCACAAAGGTTGCTCACGTTGAATTGAGTATAGCCTCGCAACTGTAACAGCATACCCAGAAGCTTGACTACACCCCATTCTTATGGCAGGGATCGAACTAACGGATCTTGACTTAACAAGCGAGTGTTCTACCACTGCGCCAACATCAGCCATAAAATCTGTTGTTGTATTATTCAATTCATTATTAACCAACATATATAACATTATGTACATTCATACATAAATATATATGCATCTGCGACAAAATCACATTGGATCGTCGAAGTTGTGGTCACTAAGGGACTTATACATATATTATATGTATTTATACTAAAATACAGATGGTCGTTTGTATGCACTCCTTTTCGTCACTCGTATTTTTTTCCAAATAATTTTTTGCGAACTTATTTGTGACATACATACATATGTATGTACATCGACACTCGATAGAGCCATCTACCAGTAAAACATAAAATTAGCTGAATTATAAGTACAAGTGGTCAGTCTTCGACTATAAGACGTCTGTTTCGTTTATGGTTCTCTTGATTAGTTGGTTTCTTCCTAACCCACCGCTAAATGTGTTGAATATTTTCGTTAGCTACTTCTTTTCTCGACTACCACATACGTATAGTTCTTGTTAAAGTAAACGTGCAAAATGGGCCGTACTTGATACCGGTCAAAAAAAAAATGTTCTCGAAATAGGTACACCCTTATCTGCATTACCAAAAAAAAAAGAAACCAAAATCCTTTACTCAAAATTCATAGTAATTAGTACTACTGATCTATTAAAACCCCTTTTATCCCACTCCTGCTTTGCTATAAACTGTGCCATCGAACAGATCAGCAGCCAAGGGCACTCCTTTACGTAAGAAAATTACTTCTTCTAGTAAAATGTAGTGAAATCGCAGACAAATTCCTCAGAGTTAAGACTCTTGGATGTGTCTGTCACCCTCCATCAATCCCTAAGCCACGTGAAAGGCACGATCAAATCATGTCAGCTTCTAGGACATACAACAAAACATTGGAAAAATTCTCCGCTTTTTGTAAACTGTTCCCTTCCTCCCCTTACCCCAAAACGTGCCAACTGTTCCCGAAAACAGCCATCTTCCTTCAGAAAATGCGCTAAGTTCCTCCAAGCAGAAGAAATCCTCAAAATAAAAACAATAAATAAAAAAATACACAAAGAACAACAAACCATTCAAAGCTCTTCTAGCATCTCTTACGCTGCCATAGTATCCAACCAAAATGTTAACAAAAATGATTCTCTACCAACAACCAACAAAAACAACGAAGTAAAAAATTCAGATGAAACAAAAAATAACAAAGACAAAATCCAAATTGAAAATCTTGATCATTCAGAAAACACCTCCTCCAATTATCCCCCTTCTA